AATGTAAACATAGCAGTTTCTTCAGCTGCAGGGTTAACCCTAGGTGGACCTGGCACCTAGACCACTTCATTGAGCTGAAGTGGACTGGGTGCCTATAGTAGTCCTTTAATTTGTCCCATAGACAATTTTCCCTTAAAGGAGTACATTTTCAATTTTTTCAATTTCAATTTTTAGACGAACAATCTACTCTTAGGTCTATTTTCTCTCCTACTTGCCATGACCGCACTAATCTTTGTGTTGTTCATTGCCTTAAGTCCTATGTAGACAAAGCTTTTCCTTTGAGAAATCAGTCCTTTTCTCAACTACTTATTTCCTACTGTAAACCTTACCTTCCTGAATGCTCCCCCACACTAGCTAGATGGGTTAGAGCAACCATGAATATTGCAGGATTGACATCTCAATTAGGAGGCTTTCTGTTGGACATTCTTAAAGCAGCTGACTGGTCCTCTGGACCAGGAGAGTATTATCCCAACCAATTATTCCACCCTCTTGGTTGCTTTTGTGGTTAATTCATTGCAGTTTAATGAGGTTACAGGTTTTCATTAGTCATCGTTTGAACTTAACAAAATATATTTTCTATAAATAATAAGTTTTTTTAATGTCATCTTCCCATTTGTCCCAAATTTATTGAAGGTTTGCAAATAAATGTGCGTCTTTTCTATATGACAGTTCATTTGCCTTATTGTCTAAAACCATGTTCAAAACGTCTTTACGTGTAGGTATATTTTTGGACTTCCAATACCAAGGTAAACATGAAGTAGCTGCGATTAAGATGTGGCCTATTATTATTCTATAGATTCTTGTAACAGACTCCTGGAATTTATTAAATAGTGCTAGCTCTGATGTCAAGATACTGATAGCCAGTTATATTAAATTTCTATATGTGTAATTTGGAGCTTGAATGCCACCATGTGGTAAAAAGTACAATTGCAGCCACTAATATGAGAGAGAGAGAAAGAGAGTGTATGTATGTATATATATATATGCATTTTTACCCCTCTTATTTTACCCAATTATATATAAACTGTGATCCTTGTTTGCAGGTAGCACGGTCCTCTAGGGCAAAAACATGCACAGTCCTTGTAATTGCAAGTACTTCAGGCACTTTATTTGTAAGTTCACACAGGATACAGCAGTAAAATGAAAACAAAAGTAACAGAAAACCCTATAAACAAAAACCTAGCTCATCTGAGCACTAACTGACATTAGTTCCCTATCTCTCAGGGTTAAACTAAACACAATATTGCACCAACCTTATTAGAGATCAACGCTCTGCTAGCTAGCCTGTTGCTTTCCTTTCTGCACTCTCAGTGCTCCAAACCAGCCTTGCCCTGACTGCTTTCCTTTCTGCACTCCCAGTGCTCCAAGCCAGCCTTGCCCTGACTGCTTCCTTTTCTGCACTCCCAGTGCTCCAAGCCAGTCTTGCCCTGACTGCTTCCTTTCTGCACTCCAAGTGCCTAGTCTCCTTGACTATCTGGAGAGAACAGCCTCTCTCTCCTACCTGCTTCCTGGGAGGAAGCCAGCAATCCCTCTCCTTTTCCTGCCTAGCCGGGAGGAGTTTATTCCCACTGCAACAGCTGATTACCTGCAGCTGAGCAGTGGGTTGGAGACAGTCCAAAAAACCCTGGCCTGGATCTAGGTCTCCCCAGAACACCACTAAACTGTGGAGTGGAGCATTGGCCCACCCTTCTCTCCAAATGCTCCACCCCAGGGGCCCATAACTAAACAATGCTTTGTGTTGTGCAACACACAAACTACACATACTCCCCCTGGGGTTAAAAGGCCTATCTGCCTTCACTTTATCACATATCCTCCTCCCCAGCTCAGACCCATCGGGTCGAGCGGCCTTAGAACACAAACCGTGAACATTCATAACACCTAGGGCTCTACCAGCCCTGACTAGCTTCTCAGTTACAGGAAGTGGCCTATTGCAGATGGCTGCTACCTTGCTCCCTTGTAGTTTAAGGAGCCCCCACCCAATAGGATAACCCAAATAGTTAGCAGTGTTAGCGGTCAAACCAGCAGCCCTTACATTATTCACAACTAACCGGACCTTCATCAGGTGTGCTACCCATTCCGCCCTGTGAACCACCACATCAAGGTAGGCAGCTGCATACTCCGGCTGGAACAGAACACTTTTCAAAGTAACCTCACTCCCTGAATCTATCAGTACTTGTGCACTCTTCCCTACCACCATCACCACTTTTAGCTGTGCTGTAACACCACCAGTCACCACACCCATCTTTAAGCAAGTCAATACAATCCTATACAGAGCCCTTATTACTATGTCACATTGTATTGTCTCTTCACTCTCAGGACAGCTATATGTAATATGTCCATGCATGCGGCAGTTGAAGCAGTTTCTCTCAGTCTGGTCTCGTAGCCAAAATAGGACTTTTAGGTACGTTCTACCATCATAGGTATATTGTCCCAGACTTTGTCCTTGCTTTCCAGTTTCCCCGCTTATCTGGTTGCTAGCGGATCTAGGCGGAGGATCAGTACTGTGTGGCTCCTTAGTAGCCAAGTTCCTCTGAATCATCATCTGCTTCCACATCCATAGCAGCTTCTGATTTGATAATCTCTCAACGTTAGAGTAACTTTCAAAAGCAAACTTTGCAAAGGCTTGGCGTGTAGCTATACGTCCAATTCCTTCATGAGCTGAATTTTCCAGGTGCTCAACCTCTTCAAGACCTGGTTCTGTCACCAGCTCATCCTTCACTGGAACAAGTCCCTCCGCGAAGGGCTCCACAACATCCTCCATCTGTTCTGCGAATCCCTGGGAACCTGCCTTGCTCCCTATGGGGTTGTCCAGAGACGCAGTCATGGCCTCTCGCTGAGTCATTACAGCCCTGGTATCAAACAGCCAGTCAGGCATTCCGAGTCCCGCCTTTAATTCCATGACTGTGTTCCCAGAATCTGGCAGCTGTTCCCGGTAGTCAGTGCGCCCAGGCCTTGTAGCAGTAGTCTTTGCCAGCAGATCTAGTTCTACGGCTCCTGGACAATCATTCAAAGTCTTTGTAGCAATACCAGATGTCTCTGCTACTAAACAGCGCACCACATTGTTATACTCAACTGGAGTGCTTTGCTTCTCTTCATTTTGCTCAGCTCCTTTGCTGTTGTCTTCTCTGACTCCCCAAGTCAGTCTGCTTTTCATGCCTTTGACTTGTTCACTTGGGTGTACATCAGGGGCTTCTGCTTCATGTTTCTTTCCCGGGCCGTATACACTAGCTTTATTTACACCTTCTGGGTGGTTTTTGCTTACCACCAACTCTTTTTCAAAGACCTCTTTATCACTACTTTTAGGCTCAATTTCATCCTTCTTGCCTTCTAATTCCTGTTCTCTCTCTCCTGCGTGTTTCTCAACAGCACACTTTGCTGCCTCCATGCTTTTCAGCTTGCTGAAGACTTCTTCTACTGCCTCTGTCATCCCATGCAGGATGTCAGTAGCTTGGTTACAGGGTCCCTTGTCCCCACGCTCCCTGCAGGGGGCAATCTGCAAAACCTCAGTAAGGGCAGCTCTATGCTCCTGCTGAGCGTCCCTCAGGTTCTTAACCTGTGCAGCCAGGAAACTGTTTGTGCCTTGTTGTTTAGCCGTTGCCTGTACCACAGCTCTCAGCAGGTCCTCCATTATAGCACCAAGCAGGTAAGAGTCTTAAAGGTACAGTGCTACTTGTTTGTGTAACAGGTCTGCAAAAATAAAAGTCCTCAAGCAGACTACCACATGACTGGCACACCCACAGACCCTCAATGTGCTACGCTGCCCGCATTCTCCACCATATTGTGATCCTTGTTTGCAGGTAGCACGGTCCTCTAGGGCAAAAACATGCACAGTCCTTGTAATTGCAAGTACTTCAGGCACTTTATTTGTAAGTTCACACAGGATACAGCAGTAAAATGAAAACAAAAGTAACAGAAAACCCTATAAACAAAAACCTAGCTCATCTGAGCACTAACTGACATTAGTTCCCTATCTCTCAGGGTTAAACTAAACACAATATTGCACCAACCTTATTAGAGATCAACGCTCTGCTAGCTAGCCTGTTGCTTTCCTTTCTGCACTCTCAGTGCTCCAAACCAGTCTTGCCCTGACTGCTTTCCTTTCTGCACTCCCAGTGCTCCAAGCCAGCCTTGCCCTGACTGCTTCCTTTTCTGCACTCCCAGTGCTCCAAGCCAGTCTTGCCCTGACTGCTTCCTTTCTGCACTCCAAGTGCCTAGTCTCCTTGACTATCTGGAGAGAACAGCCTCTCTCTCCTACCTGCTTCCTGGGAGGAAGCCAGCAATCCCTCTCCTTTTCCTGCCTAGCCGGGAGGAGTTTATTCCCACTGCAACAGCTGATTACCTGCAGCTGAGCAGTGGGTTGGAGACAGTCCAAAAAACCCTGGCCTGGATCTAGGTCTCCCCAGAACACCACTAAACTGTGGAGTGGAGCATTGGCCCACCCTTCTCTCCAAATGCTCCACCCCAGGGGCCCATAACTAAACAATGCTTTGTGTTGTGCAACACACAGACTACACATACTCCCCCTGGGGTTAAAAGGCCTATCTGCCTTCACTTTATCACAAAACATATAGTAGTGTTTTATTTATTTTGGATATCATTCTATGCAGGATCAAACTTATTTTGTACAAGTGTGAAAAATATTTGCACGTTAAAATATTTTTACTAATTAGTATGACTGTATTTATCTATTATTTTTTACTTATTTTTTTGTTCGCAGAGTGTTTTTGTTCTTTTTCTTTGCTAGTTAACATTTACTGGTATATGAAGCTATTCAAGTGGTGCAAACAAGCACATTAGATGATGAATATTAAAATAAAAAGCTGCTCTGTAACAAGTCATAATCACAATGGTAGTCTGAAGTGCCATATCAAAAATATGCATATTAACATGATGAGCAAGGCCATCTATAATATGAATAGGACCCTGGGCAAAGAATTTTGTTGGACCCCTGGGGCCCTGCAGCCCTCCCCATCCCCCCTCGCCCCCAATTACGCCCAACCCCCAATCACACTGACATACTGACACATACACACACAGACATACATATTAAAACATTCACAGATACATACTAACACACACGGACACACAGACAGACATACTGACACATACACATACATATTGACACACACAGACAGACAGACACACACACAGACACACATACACTGACAAACTATTGACACACACACAGACATGCTGACACACACAGGCATACTGACATAACACACAGATAGACATACTGACACACACAGACATACTGACACACACAGACATACTGACATAACACACAGACAGACATACTGACACACACACTCACAGACATACTGACACACACAGACATACTGACATACACACAGACAGACATACTGTCTGACACACACACAGACATACTGACATACATTTAGCCACCCTCCAACCATCCTTACCTTTTCTGGAGAGTGGTTTCCCTGGGGTCCAGTGGCAGGCTGAGGCAGTTGGGAGTTCTCCTCTGAAACTCCCCTCCTCCCGCGCAGCTCTGATCTACGGTAGGAGGAAGTGACGTGCGACATTCACTTCCTCCCAGCCGGCTGCCAAACAGGAAGGGGCCCGGTCGCGCTGTTTAAGCGTCACAGCGCCCGACCGGGCCCCAGCTGACAAATGCCCACCGGGTGGCCTTTAGTGCATGGGCCACCCGGGGGCCCTCTTTAGCGTGTGGGACAGAGCGGCACCGCCGGATCCAAGGTGGGCTGCGCAAATCGCGGGGCCTGCGGGGCAGCTGCTCTGGGGCCCCCCAGGAGCAACTGGGCCCGGGGCAGCTGCCCCGTTTGCCCCGCGCTAAAGACGGCCCTGATGATGAGCATAAAAAAAAATAATAATTTAACCTACCACTATCATAACAATCATAATTCTGGGAAAGTTCACAGTTGTGAACTGAAACGTTGACCACTTGGATTAAATGCCTATTTTTTCATGTTGAAGTCCTTGAGTGCTGGCTTTCTTTTTGGAGACTGTACTTGTGTGCAGCTGAGCACCGGGCCAAGATCTGGAGGAGAGCTGGAGTGCAAAACTCCCATCATATTGTGTGTAATGTAATGCAATGTTTCAACATTGAAGTTGCTGTTTAGTGGATAGGTGAGTGCGCTGGATCTTGTGTTTTGTATTATTTGGCCCCCAGCAGCACCCCCATTTATGCATGTTCAGGTGAGTGCAGCCAACCCCCCCTTGTTTCATATGTATATATTTGGGAGTCTAGCCAACTCCTTGGTTTTGCACCCCTCCCTGTCACAGGTGCCTCATCCCAGGGCCCTATTTAGCCTTGTACTGCAGAGAGCCCCAGATGGAATTTTTTTCCTCAAGTAAGTGGTTAATCTCATAAGAGCAGACATTAGGCTGTTAGTGTAGGACCTGCCAAAGATGGGGTACATTGACGTTGTGGCAGGCTTATGCAATGTATGATCATATAATGTAACTAAACCCCCATTATTTTTGCCTAGATTAGGTGTTTTTAAAAAAAACAAATAAAATCTTTCAACATTGAAGTTGCTGTTTAGTGGATAGGTGAGTGCGCTGGATCTTGTGTTTTGTATTATTTGGCCCCCAGCAGCACCCCCATTTATGCATGTTCAGGTGAGTGCAGCCAACCCCCCCTTGTTTCATATGTATATATTTGGGAGTCTAGCCAACTCCTTGGTTTTGCACCCCTCCCTGTCACAGGTGCCTCATCCCAGGGCCCTATTTAGCCTTGTACTGCAGAGAGCCCCAGATGGAATTTTTTTCCCTCAAGTAAGTGGTTAATCTCATAAGAGCAGACATTAGGCTGTTAGTGTAGGACCTGCCAAAGATGGGGTACATTGACGTTGTGGCAGGCTTATGCAATGTATGATCATATAATGTAACTAAACCCCCATTATTTTTGCCTAGATTAGGTGTTTTTAAAAAAACAAATAAAATCTTTCAACATTGAAGTTGCTGTTTAGTGGATAGGTGAGTGCGCTGGATCTTGTGTATTGTATTATTTGGCCCCCAGCAGCACCCCCATTTATGCATGTTCAGGTGAGTGCAGCCAACCCCCTCTTGTTTTATATATATATATTTGGGAGTCTAGCCAACTCCTTGGTTTTGCACCCCTCCCTGTCACAGGTGCCTCATCCCAGGGCCCTATTTAGCCTTGTACTGCAGAGAGCCCCAGATGGAATTTTTTTCCCCAAGTAGGTTAATCTCATAAGAGCAGACATTAGGCTGTTAGTGTAGGACCTGCCAAAGATGGGGTACATTGACGTTGTGGCAGGCTTATGCAATGTATGATCATATAATGTAACTAAACCCCCATTATTTTTGCCTAGATTAGGTGTTTTTAAAAAAACTAATAAAATCTTTCAACATTGAAGTTGCTGTTTAGTGGATAGGTGAGTGCGCTGGATCTTGTGTTTTGTATTATTTGGCCCCCAGCAGCACCCCCATTTATGCATGTTCAGGTGAGTGCAGCCAACCCCCCCTTGTTTCATATATATATATTTGGGAGTCTAGCCAACTCCTTGGTTTTGCACCCCTCCCTGTCACAGGTGCCTCATCCCAGGGCCCTATTTAGCCTTGTACTGCAGAGAGCCCCAGATGGAATTTTTTCCCCAAGTAGGTTAATCTCATAAGAGCAGACATTAGGCTGTTAGTGTAGGACCTGCCAAAGATGGGGTACATTGACGTTGTGGCAGGCTTATGCAATGTATGATCATATAATGTAACTAAACCCCCATTATTTTTGCCTAGATTAGGTGTTTTAAAAAAAACTAATAAAATCTTTCAACATTGAAGTTGCTGTTTAGTGGATAGGTGAGTGCGCTGGATCTTGTGTTTTGTATTATTTGGCCCCCAGCAGCACCCCCATTTATGCATGTTCAGGTGAGTGCAGCCAACCCCCCTTGTTTCATATGTATATATTTGGGAGTCTAGCCAACTCCTTGGTTTTGCACCCCTCCCTGTCACAGGTGCCTCATCCCAGGGCCCTATTTAGCCTTGTACTGCAGAGAGCCCCAGATGGAATTTTTTTTCCCTCAAGTAAGTGGTTAATCTCATAAGAGCAGACATTAGGCTGTTAGTGTAGGACCTGCCAAAGATGGGGTACATTGACGTTGTGGCAGGCTTATGCAATGTATGATCATATAATGTAACTAAACCCCCATTATTTTTGCCTAGATTAGGTGTTTTAAAAAAAAACAAATAAAATCTTTCAACATTGAAGTTGCTGTTTGGTGGATAGGTGAGTGCGCTGGATCTTGTGTGTTGTATTGTTTGGCCCCCGGCAGCACCCCCATTTGTGCATGTTAAGGTGAGTGCAGCCATCCCCCTCTTGTTTTATATATATTTGGGAGTCTAGCCAACTCCTTGGTTTTGCACCCCTCCCTGTCACAGGTGCCTCATCCCAGGGCCCTATTTAGCCTTGTATTGCAGAGAGCCCCAGATGGAATTTTTTTTCCTCAAGTAAGTGGTTAATCTCATAAGAGCAGACATTAGGCTGTTAGTGTAGGACCTGCCAAAGATGGGGTACATTGACGTTGTGGCAGGCTTATGCAATGTATGATCATATAATGTAACTAAACCCCCATTATTTTTGCCTAGATTAGGTGTTTTAAAAAACTAATAAAATCTTTCAACATTGAAGTTGCCGTTTAGTGGATAGGTGAGTGCGCTGGATCTTGTGTTTTGTATTATTTGGCCCCCAGCAGCACCCCCATTTATGCATGTTCAGGTGAGTGCAGCCAACCCCCCTTGTTTTATATGTATATATTTGGGAGTCTAGCCAACTCCTTGGTTTTGCACCCCTCCCTGTCACAGGTGCCTCATCCCAGGGCCCTATTTAGCCTTGTACTGCAGAGAGCCCCAGATGGAATTTTTTTCCCCAAGTAAGTGGTTAATCTCATAAGAGCAGACATTAGGCTGTTAGTGTAGGACCTGCCAAAGATGGGGTACATTGACGTTGTGACAGGCTTATGCAATGTATGATCATATAATGTAACTAAACCCCCATTATTTTTGCCTAGATTAGGTGTTTTTAAAAAACTAATAAAATCTTTCAACATTGAAGTTGCTGTTTAGTGGATAGGTGAGTGCGCTGGATCTTGTGTTTTGTATTATTTGGCCCCCAGCAGCACCCCCATTTATGCATGTTCAGGTGAGTGCAGCCAACCCCCCTTGTTTCATATGTATATATTTGGGAGTCTAGCCAACTCCTTGGTTTTGCACCCCTCCCTGTCACAGGTGCCTCATCCCAGGGCCCTATTTAGCCTTGTACTGCAGAGAGCCCCAGATGAATTTTTTTCCTCAAGTAAGTGGTTAATCTCATAAGAGCAGACATTAGGCTGTTAGTGTAGGACCTGCCAAAGATGGGGTACATTGACGTTGTGGCAGGCTTATGCAATGTATGATCATATAATGTAACTAAACCCCCATTATTTTTGCCTAGATTAGGTGTTTTTAAAAAAACTAATAAAATCTTTCAACATTGAAGTTGCTGTTTAGTGGATAGGTGAGTGCGCTGGATCTTGTGGTATTATTTGGCCCCCAGCAGCACCCCCATTTATGCATGTTCAGGTGAGTGCAGCCAATCTTGTGTTTTGTATTATTTGGCCCCCAGCAGCACCCCCATTTATGCATGTTCAGGTGATGTGCAGCCAACCCCCCTTGTTTTATATGTATATATTTGGGAGTCTAGCCAACTCCTTGGTTTTGCACCCCTCCCTGTCACAGGTGCCTCATCCCAGGGCCCTATTTAGCCTTGTACTGCAGAGAGCCCCAGATGGATTTTTTTCCCTCAAGTAAGTGGTTAATCTCATAAGAGCAGACATTAGGCTGTTAGTGTAGGACCTGCCAAAGATGGGGTACATTGATGTTGTGGCAGGCTTATGCAATGTATGATCATATAATGTAACTAAACCCCCATTATTTTTGCCTAGATTAGGTGTTTTTAAAAAAACTAATAAAATCTTTCAACATTGAAGTTGCTGTTTAGTGGATAGGTGAGTGCGCTGGATCTTGTGTTTTGTATTATTTGGCCCCCAGCAGCACCCCATTTATGCATGTTCAGGTGAGTGCAGCCAACCCCCCCTTGTTTCATATGTATATATTTGGGAGTCTAGCCAACTCCTTGGTTTTGCACCCCTCCCTGTCACAGGTGCCTCATCCCAGGGCCCTATTTAGCCTTGTACTGCAGAGAGCCCCAAATGGAATTTTTTTCCTCAAGTGGTTAATCTCATAAGAGCAGACATTAGGCTGTTAGTGTAGGACCTGCCAAAGATGGGGTACATTGACGTTGTGGCAGGCTTATGCAATGTATGATCATATAATGTAACTAAACCCCCATTATTTTTGCCTAGATTAGGTGTTTTTTAAAAAAACTAATAAAATCTTTCAACATTGAAGTTGCTGTTTAGTGGATAGGTGAGTGCGCTGGATCTTGTGTTTTGTATTATTTGGCCCCCAGCAGCACCCCCATTTATGCATGTTCAGGTGAGTGCAGCCAACCCCCCCTTGTTTTATATATATATATATATATATATATATATATATATATATATATATATATATATATATATATATATATATATATATATATATATATATATGCACACACAGTATCTTTTGTTGGTTTAGGCACAAGCTCTTTATCTAGATTTCTATTTGCAGGTTTGGACACATTTCTAAATCTTCGTTTTTTATGTTTTTCTTCAATGGTAGTTTTCTTCAATGGTGCTAAAAACAAAGTGCGGTCTGCAGTATGAAGAATCTCATGTCTGGGGCGAGCACAGATTTTTGGGTTGCCTAAATAACCCGTGCCCTTGGCACAAAATTGCAGATTTCTCAGTATGCACAGCATTTAAAGCTGAAATATTGAACACACTGCTTGAAGCACTGAATGAAGAATGCTTGCTTTATTGCCACTTCTGAAAGCATAAGTGGTCATGGACATCGGAGTAACTCTTTAAGAGCGTCATTGTCAACTTGAGTGTTTTCTTTTGTTTCCATCGAAAACCAGAATCCCAATCCACAGATGTTTGT